CAGGAGGTGACCCGTCACGGGGACTGTGGTGACCAGCTCTGTGAGTGGGCAGGAGGTGACCTGTCACGAGGACTGTGGTGACCACTCTGTGAGTGGACAGGAGGTGACCCGTCACGGGGACTGTGGTGACCGCTCTGTGAGTGGGCAGGAGGTGACCCGTCACAACGAGGCAGGAGCAGCCGGGCTCAGGAGATGCCTGCAGGGCGGCTTCCAACAGCTCTTCTCTGCTCAGCACTCCACACCTGGCCTCTTCCTGACATTCAGGATACAGGTGGGGAAGTTTTGGCATAAATAGATACAAAATATGTACAAAAGATCACAGGTGTCCTGTTTACTGCAGAGTTACTTGCTTTTAAAAAAAGTAGGGGCAGGCCAGTTCTACAAGTTGACTTCATGTAATTTTTATAAAGTGAAAAGGCCAAACTAAGAAAGAAAAGAAAAAATGAAAATGAAACCAATAAAGGAGAAAAAAAAAATCAGGGGACTGTGACCAAAGAGAAGAAGCCTGCTGAGGCATCTGATCATCAACCAAGCAAGATCTTGTGTGTCAGTATACTGACCATCTACACAACCAATTACGGGCATAGTTAATTTTATTAGCTAACTGAATTTGTAAAGGCTAACCATGTTGAAAAGGACACCTACCGATCAGATAACTCTGAGCGAATTCTCACGTTAAAACTTTGGGGGCAATATTAGTTACCCTGTACTTCTATGGTGACAATGACATTAAAGTCTAAGCATTATGCTACCCAACTGCAGCTCTCTTCTTCGAGTGCCACAAAACGCCATTACCAATCAGCCTGTTATATAACAAGCACAGACAGAACCCATGGTGTGGACTGTGAGGCTCGTGCTGTCACCAGTAAGGCGTGGCTTGCCCGCTTATTACTGTCCGGCCTTTACCTCACAGTAAATTGATTCCAAGAAAGACTTCTCAATCATTCAGTTTTAGGAGTACCTCTAATTTCAATGTTTTGACAACAAGTTCTGAAGGAGAGATGCAATAAAACGTTTCTCACATGAGCTTTGGAGTTCCCCCGAGTAGCTCTCCAACTGAATGCTGAGGTACAATAATTTTAAAAGGATCAAAATATCATTACCAATCTCAATACTACACCAAAGAACAGATATCACACTGGGCTCAGAGCTTCCGGAAGCAGGCAAATGAGCTCTAACTTTATAAGGCTGAAATTATAGCTTGATGTGAAGCCAATTATAGAAAATCAGCGCTGAAATTTCAGGATTATAGCAGAATGTTTTAAAGCAGTAGCCATAACATGCCAAATGACTGCATAACTTGTTCTAAAATACAGGATCAAAGAACATGTTAATAATCTCAGCTCAGCAGTAAGGAGAAGGTGGGAAAGCTAATAACACATTATAACACAATGCAGTGATGCTCAAAACCTAGGAGTCAAAGAGAGATTTAACGGGAATCATTGTAGTCAGTCTACAATCCCAGTCTGTATGTTTGAATCTACATAGTGAAATATTTATGATTCTGGAAAAGGCTTGCAACACAAAAGCCATGGTTTTAGGAAAAATATTTGCATTTCCCCCCTGTCCCTATAAGTAATGAATACATAACCCATTTTCTTTAATTGGTAACTTTCCATTTCTTAATTGAGCAGAACAAAAAACAAAGCATAGCCAAGCATCCAGAGAAGGTAGAAAAATGAATTCATTCCACGTTGCTAAGCAGCCAGTGCCACCTAGTGACGTGACCAACTGAGAAGCTCTTCCCCAGCGTCTCAGAATATAAAGCATCTGAATTCCATTAGGGTTCAATAAGTTTAAATAAAATGAAGCATGATTAATCAGTTTTTGAAAGAACTATGACACCACAAAATTTATATATAAAGGGGCCGGCCAAATGGCTCAGTTGGTTAAGAGTCAGCTTCCCACATAGGCCACTAACGCTGCGCCTGAGCTGAGCTGCCGCTGAGCTGCCAGCAGGTGGCAGGATGGCTCAGCTGGTGAGAGCACATGCTCCTAACAAGACTGCCTGTTTGATGGTGGGTTATGCCTGCCCACAGCTAAGACTGAACTTGGCACCTTGAGCTGAGCTGCTGCCCGGATGGCTCAGTGGATAGAGCATGCGCTCTTAACAACAAGGCTGTCGGTTCGACTCCCGCATGGGATGGTGGCTATGCCCACATGCAAGTAAGGCTGAACTCAACACCTTGAGCTGAGCTGCCGCCCGGATGGCTCAGTGGATAGAGCGTGTACTCTTAACAACAAGGCTGCTGGTTCAGCTCATGGGATGGTGGCTACGCCCACCCACAACTAAGATTGTAACACAGCACCTTGAGCTTAGAGACCATGAGCTGCCAACGGTCAGCCAGATGGCGACTGGCGCCCTCCACAACTAAGACTGAAGAACAACAACTTGATTGGTCCCCCTCCCCAATTCCCCAACACTGTTACCCTCCTCCAATTCCCCAATTAAAAAAAAAAATTCTGTATAATGACTTACAACACACTTTCAAATATTTTATAAGATCTTACTAAAACAACATTCAAAAGGAAATTGTTGTCTACAAACACTGATCTAGTAGTCTCTTAAAAATTTTCAGCTTTTTTCCTTTATATTCAGATTTACATTATTATTCCTTAAACCCTTACCTATATGAGGATTAAGTGCTGTCACCAACATTAGAGACTCGTTCATTAGCTTGTTGATCCTTTCTGTGTTGGCCTGGATTCCCACCACGCAGTTTTCTGTGAAGGAAACGGACGCATCCCCCAGCAGCCGGGCTGAGTGCAACACATTTTTAATCTAAGAGAGAGAGAGAAACTTATTAAGCTTAACTTTCTTTTGTCCAATGACATACAGCATTATTTGTGGGCTTATAAGTGAATATATAATTCAACACACACACACAGCACTCTGCAATTTTTAAGGCAAAACAAATATGAAAGAAATTATAATCATTTGAGGGCACAGAAAACTAAAAGAGACAAAAAGGAATAAATAATAAATGCAAATAACTAAAATATAGGATGCATGTGGTATGCAAAGCACATAAAATGTTAGGGAGTATAGAGAAAGAGAAATTCATTCCAATTGAAAGAATTGGTGAAGTCCTATTTAACAGAGAGGACTTAGATTGCCAGAGATGGAGAAAGGATTTCTGTGCAGAAGGAAGAGGAGCAAAGATGAAGAGTTAGAAAGTTCAGCATATATTTGAGGAAATAAATGAAGTGAGGGATTCCCAGCTCTTAATGATCACGCGTTCTTTTATGTTTAACAAAACACGCATTCCATGGATGCTTTAAAATAACCTCTCACACAATATTTACAAACAATATAAAATCAATTAGTTTCTTTTAGCATTTTCTTTTTTTGTAACATTTCCAATATATATTAAATTACATATCCACATCCTAATCTCTTTTGGTCTAAAACCCCAGCGTCTGAAAACTACGCTCCCAATAATAGGCTCCAGTAGAAGTCACAGAACTTCTGTGACTTCATGGCAAATGTTGATTACCTTGATTTATTTTCTATTGAAGACAAAACAGATTTTTTTAAAAAGATTAGCAAGACATTTATTGTTATGCCCCTATCTTTGCCAGGCAACTGGTGTTAACTGTTTCGAAAGTGACCTGAAAGCAAAAGCTTATAGGTCTGAGTTCTGCTTTGGCCTGTCTTCTTCCTATTTTCCACCAGAACGTACATTCCATAAGAGCAAAAAAAAATCTGTCTTGTTCATTGTTCTATCACTAGCAACCTGTACAGTGCCTGATATAGACTAGTACTCAATAAATACTTGAGGAATACACTAAATGAACATACTTAATTTTGTCATTTGCATGTTATCATCCAAGATGTTACACCAAATACAAACTGGAAATAAGACTCTACTATGTTTTAGCAATGACGTTTCACACAAATAAAGGACTCTTAATGATGACAACTCCATTATCTGAATCTGTGAAAATGGATGAAAGATGATGCCATCTTGTTTCAGCTTCAAAGAAATGAAGGAAAAAGAACAGTTTTAGTGGACACAATAAGTTTTTCAAGTTATGGGGAAGAGGTAAAACCAATGAAAGAAAAAGTCTGAGAGGGAAAGGGGAGAAAACGGGGAAAAAAGTGCTGAAGACACCAAGGGCAAAGAGGGTTTCAAGGAGGGACGAGTCGGTTAGGTGTTGGTAAGAGCTGCGCATGTCTGTGGGGCTGAGGAGGTCACAAGTGACGGTGAGGACAACTCAAGTACGCGTGCGGATGATGCCGGACGGCACTGACTGTGGTGTGAATCACAGTGAGTGTGTGGGTTACTCGAGGGGAGAAGACGGAAGCAGCATGAGGAAAGAGGATGGAGGCAGGGTATTTTTGTTAGTTTGTTTGTAATAAATTGAGGAGGCTTGAACTTATTTCTAGCCACTGGCATTCCCACTGGTGAGGGACAAGAAAGACACCTATGCCCTACCTTCCAGGGCTTTTTCTCCTATTAAGAAAAGCAAACCATCAAATTACTTTCACTAAAAGTCACCTAATTGAATATCCAGTATTAATCCTCTAACATTAATATATGCTTGACTTTCAACTGCTATTTATATCATCTAAGTACCTAATGTGGAATCTATAGAAACCTTTATGAGAGACAAAAACTAAGACAATTAGCCTTCAAAAACATTAAAAATCAAATTTAAAGCTTACCATCATTGGCTTGAAAACATTCAACTCAAAATGTCCATTGCTGCCTCCGACGGTGACAGCGACGTGATTCCCCATGACTTGGGCTGCAACCATGGTCATGGCTTCACACTGGGTAGGGTTCACCTTGCCTTTGAGAAAACCACAGGGAGAGACTGCACGTCAAACACACGCAGGGCTTATGTGTCAGCTAAGATTAGGTTTAATGTCAAATAATCAAGAAAAGCAAAGGAAGGAAATCTAACTATTAAATAAAACAAGACATATAATAAAGCAAGGCCCTAACCATCAGTGCTGATTTCATGAAACAAACCAACCAAAAAAGAGGGAAGGGTAGCCACAAACTGAAGCACTCAATGTCTACTGAGTAATGAGTAATGAGTTCCTGCAACTATATATACAATATAGTTCTTTTTTCATGGCTTTCATTCATTCTAGAAATGTTTATAGAGCCAGGCATTGAATATACAATGATCAGTAAGAAAGGTGCAGCCCCTCCCCTGGCAGAGCCTGGAGGCCAGGGAGAGCGCGCTGGCGATCACAACAGATCAGGGGCAAAGACAGACCAGTGCAGGCTGCTGTGGGAACAGTTATAAAACAGGCCCCTCACCTGCATTGGG